CCACCATGATTGGCCTTTTTTTTTTTTAATTTCACCTTTCCTACTTATTACTTTGGAGACTGGCCAGCAAGCTGCTTTCCAACTGGGAAGATGGATGCTGAGGGACTGCTCAGTGATGCCAAGGGACTGGGACTGACCCTGACCCTTGCTCCCACATCAGGATGTGGCCTGCCTAGCTCTAAATTTGCCTGAAGAAACAGCAGATCCCCAAAATTAGAATTTAAATGTTCTCACAACAAAGAGCTGGGCATGGGGGCTCACACCTGTAATCCCAGCACTTTGGGAGGCCAAGGTAGGAGGATGGCTTGAGGTCAGGAGTTAAAGCTCAGCCTGGGCAACATAGTGAAACCCTGTCTCTACTAAAAATGCAAAAATTAGCCAGGTATGATGGCACGTGCCTGTAATCCCAGCTACTGGGGGGGATCCCTTGAACCTGGGAGGTGGAGATCACAGTGAGTCTAGGTAGCACCACTGCACTCCAGCCTGGGCAGCAGAGTGAGACTCGGTCTCAAAACAACAACAACAACAACAAAAGTTCTCATCACAAAGAAATGACAATATGAGGCCAGGCACAGTGGCTCACACCTGTAATCCCAGCACTTTGGAAGGCCAAGGTGGGCAGATCACGAGGTCAGGAGTTCGAGACCAGCCTGGCCAACATGGTGAAATCCTGTCTTTACTAAAAAAAAACAAAAATCAGCCGGGCGTGGTGGCATGTGCCTGTGGTCCCAGCTACTTGGGAGGCTGAAGTGGGAGAATCGCTCAAGGTTGCAGTTTGCAGTGAGCCGAGATCAAGCCACTGCACTCCAGCCTGGGCAATAGTGAGACTCTATCTCAAAAAAAAAAAAAAAAAAAGGAATGACAGTATGTGAGGTGACAGATATATTCACTAGCTTGATTTAATCAGTCCACACTGCCAACATGCTTCAAATCATTATATTGTACCCCACAAATATATACAAGTATTACTTGTCAATTACAAATAAAATTAGGTCAGGCTCTGTCCCTCATGTCTGTAACCCCAGGGCTATGGTTGGTTGGTTGGTTTATTTATTTATTTATTTTCGAGACAGAGTTTTCCTCTTGTCGCCCAGGCTGGAGTGCAATGGTGCAATCTCGGCTCACTGCAACCTCTGCCTCCCAGGTTCAAGTAATTCTCCTGCCTCAGCGCTCCAAGTAGCTGGGATTATAGGCTTACAGGCAAGTGCCACCATGCCTGGCTAAATCTGTATTTTTAGTAGAGACAGGGTTTCACCATGTTGGTCAGGTCCGTCTCGAATTCCTGACCTCAAGTGATCTGCCTGCCTTTCAAAGTGCTGGGATAACAGTCATGAGTTACTGAGCCTGTCCTGTAATTCCAGTGCTTTAGGAAGCCCAGTCAGAAAAAATGCTTGAGGCCAGGAGTAAGAAACCAGCCTGGGCAACATAGCAAGACCCCATCTCCACAAAAAAATTGTAAAACTGGCCAAGCATGGTGGCACATGCCTGTGGTCCCAGCTACTCAGGGGTCCAGGTGGGAGGATTGTTTAAGCCTAGGACTTTGAGGCTGCAGTGAATCATAATCATGCCACTGCACTCCAGCCTGAATGAAAGAGGGAGACCCCGTCTCTAAAAAAAATGAAATAAAATAAAAACAAATTAAAATTTAAAAACCCTTATAACTAGATGGTACATTTAAACCTAATAGATCAACACTTTTATTACATTAATGTCATAAATATGCCAATAAAGACATAGATTGTCTCACACACACACACACACACACACACACACACCATGCAGCCCCTCATGTTTGTATCCATTCATTACATAGAAGTATTAAGGTCATTTGTATAAATTTTTCCTGAACAGAATGCAAGTCCTAAACATACAGGGCTGTTAAACACCCTGGAATTAAACCTCTCAAATCAGGCAAGATTCCAGCAGCACCAAAAAAACTCATCTCTTCTGGTTCTGTGTGATATTTGTTAAGCTTCTGTGTCCTTGGCTAAAGAAATCAAGAATTTCCAGTGTCTGGATGTGGAAATCAGAAGCAGGGATGGAGCAAGGAATGGAGCAAGGAAGGAATGGATGTGTCATTCAGTCATTCCTTAGCAGACCTGAAAAATGCAAAGTTCTGATGGAATTTTCCATTTAACTAATGATTCCATCCTATACCAGATACACATAAACAAATATTTCTCTTCCATTATCTGTGAAAAGAAAAACAAAAGCACAAGATGAAATATTTCATTCACCAAGGCATGCCATTCCTTGACCAGTAAGATAAACTCCTTTTTTTTTTTCCTCCTGCTCCCTCTGATCGATAAACTCTTAAGAATGCTATAACTGGCTCGGCGAGGTGGCTCACGCCTGTAATCCCAGCACTTTGGGAAGCCAAGGCAGGTGGATCATGAGGTCAGGAGTTCAAGACCAGCCTGGCCAAAATGGTGAAACCCCATCTCTACAAAAATAAATAACAAGAAATGCTAAAGAAAAGAAAAAGAAAAAAATAAATAAAAGTAAATTTTAAAAAAGAGCTGGGTGCAGTGGTTCATACCTATAATCCCAGCACTTTGGGAGGCTGAGGCAGGTGGATCACGAGGTCAAGAGATCGAGACCATCCTGGTCAAGAAGGTGAAACCCCGTCTCTACTAAAAATAGAAAAAATTAGCTGGGCATGGTGGTGCACGCCTATAGTCCCAGCTACTCGGGAGGCTGAGGTAGGAGAATTGCTTGAACTCAGGAGGCGGAGGTTGCAGTGAGCCGAGATCACATCATTGCACTCCAGCCTGGGTAACAAGAGCGAAACTCCGTCTCAAAAAAAAAAAAGAATGCTATAACTATCCTTCTGCTCCCTTACCCAGTATTACTACACACACATGCATACACACATACACACACACACAAGTTCATTACCCATCACTGCAATCTTGTGGTCTTCTTTCTGATTTACTTACAGTTTGATTAGAGTTCTTCTGGAATATTTTCATCAAACAGAAGTAGGTGTAGGATTTATTCTCCAAATTTTGTGTAATTTTGAATAGATTTCTTTTCTTTTCTTTTTTTTTTTTTGAGACAGAATTTTGCTCTTGTCCCCCAGGCTGGAGTGCAATGGCACGATCTCAGCTCACTGTAAACTCTGCCTTCCAGTTTCAAGTGATTCTCCTGCCTCAGCCTCCCGAGTAGCTGGGATTACAGGTGCTTGCCACCATGCCTGGCTAATTTTCGTATTTTTAGTAGAGATGGGGTTTCACCTTGTTGGCCAGGCTGTTCTCGAACTCCTGACCTCATGATCTGCCCACCTTGGCCTCCCAAAGTGCTGGGATTACAGGCATGAGTCACTGTACCCAGGCTTGAATATATTTCTTTTAACTTAACAGTTATATTGGCTGGGAGCAATGGCTCATTCCTGTAATCCCAGCACGGAGGGAGGCTGGGGCAGGCAGATCACTTTAGGTCAGGAGTTCAAGACCAGCCTGGCCAAAGCTGGGATTACAGACATGAGCCACCGTGCCCAGCTCACCAGTAATTTCCTTAAGAGTTTTATTAATCCAGATTGGAACTTGGTAAATTCTTTCCCTTTGAATACTCAGTTTTTTTTAGTACATAGGATTTATTGTCATTATTATTGGTCTGCTTAATTACAGCTTCTCTTCTACTTTTCTTTTTAAAAAATCTTTCTAGACATTTTACTGTTACATATACTGAATCTAGACTTCAAGTATTTTGTCAGTTTCTTCAATATTTCCATCTGTTTGTAATTCTGCTGTATGTTTTGAGATTTTTCTCTCACTGAATATTCTGGGTCACTAATTTAGCTTGCAACTATCCTCTTCTTAAATCCATCAATTGAAATTTAAAATGAAAAACTCATGTTTCTTATCTCCACAAAGTATTTTATGCTGTAATAGAATCTATTCTATTTTGGCTGGGCACAGTGGCTCATAACTGTAATGCCAGAACTTTGGGAGGCTGAGGCAGGTGGATCACTTGAGGTCAGGAATTTGAGACCAGCCTGACCAACATGGTGAAACCTTGTCTCTACTAAAAATACAAAAATTAGCTGGGCATGGTGGCAGATACCTGTAGTCTCAGCTTGGGAGGCTGAGGTGGGAAAATCACTTGAACCCGGGAGGCAGAGGTTGCAGTCACACCACTGCACTCCGACCTGGTCAACAGAGTAAGCCTCTGTCTCAAAAAAAAAAAAAAAAAAAAAAAACTCTTTTATTTATGTCTATAAATTTAAGGGGTACAAGTGCAGTTTTGTTACATGGATATATCGTGTAGTGGGGAAGTATTGGCTTTTAGTGTAACCATTACCCAAATATTCAATTGTACCTTCTTGTTCCTTTTTGGTTCAAGTTACTGAATGCATTCATATATTCCTGCTTTTCCTCGGGCTGGTTCCTTCCAGATGGGCCAGTTCCTTTCCTTAGCTCACTCATGGGTCTATTTATCACTGGGGTCCATACCCAGCTAACAGGATACTTTCATAATCTCTTAAGTTGTGCAAGGTGTAGGATTGGCTTCCCCTGTGGTAGGTGACATGCCAGCTGGCAGGTTGAAAGGGGACCTGGGAAGCTTTACTGTCCCTGCTGTCCTCAATGGAAAAAACTAGATCTGTGCAGCCTCAGGCCTGTGGGACACCATCTTTTCATCCTTGACGCTCTCTCCTTGGGAGATCAGCAGTGCATAGATTGTCTCCAGCCCAGCTCTCCCCAGAAAGGGAGCTCTGGTCATTGTTCTGGGCTTCTTACTGCTGGTCCCACCCCCACCCTGCGTCGGTCATTCCTATTGGCCAAACAGGAGGCACCAAGCCTCGCCTGCCTGAAGGCCACAGCTTCTGCTACACTCAGGAAGGAGAGTTCAGCTGGTGGTTGAAATAGAGGTAGGAAGAGAAACTTGCCACGTGTCTCATTGGTGTTGTTTAGGGATGTGGAACCATGGCAACTTCCACGAAAGGCTGCAGAGAGAAAAAGAGAAATACTTAGAGCAGTGTTTTTTCTTTCTTTCTTTTTTTAAATATGGTACACTTCACGAATTTGCGTGTCATCCTTGTGCAGGGGCTGTGCTAATCTTCTCCGTATCGTTCCAATTTTAGTATATGTGCTGCCGAAGCGAGCACTTTTTTTTTTTTAAGATGCGGTTTCATCATGATGGCCAGGCTGGTCTTCAGCTCCTGACCTCAGGTGATCCACCCACCTCGGCCTCCCAAATTGCTAGGATTACAGGCATGAGCCACCACGCCCAGCCTGTGTTTTTTTTTTTTTTTCAGTTGCTGCCTGTGGAGTCTGACTCAGTAGGAAGGCAAATGTTATTTATCGAACACTTAAAATAGTATGTCAGGCATGGCGCTAGGAACTTCAGATAAGTTTTCTCATACAATCTTCACCACGACAATATAGTTTTTGTTCATTGAGAGTTGTGAAGGAACTTGCTCAGGGTCAGCCCGGCAAGCTATTCTATGAACTAGAATGATTCAACGTCTTCCAAATGTCTGCAGTTTCCCATTGAGCTGGGGACAGAGAGCAGCCTCCCTAAGGAGCCGATTCTACAGCTTCAGCTCCCGAAGCTTGCAGAGCACTAGTTACCATGACAACAGGACAAAATGCAGAGACCCTAGCTGCTGGGAGAAAAATGACACGAGCCAAAAGAGTAAAAATTCACCCCGTGTTGGGAATCTTATGAGTTACTTACAAAGAATGCCTACAATTGTGAGAGTTGAAACCACCAGAGGGAGACAGAGATCGCCACAGGCGGGGGACCCACCTGTATTCCAAACTCAGCTTCCTCCCAGCACTCCCATCTTTTTCCCACACTAGGGGCCCCTGCCCAGTCTTCCGGGCTGACCCTCTCTCTTTCAGAGCTCTTCAAACTATCTCCTCCCAACCGGAGCTCAGGACTTGGGACCTGGCCCCTTGAGGGTGACAGAAAGGTGACTTGCTTCTTCTGCTGGAAAAAGCAGAGGCATTCAGAAATGAGGGCCCTTCCAGAAAACCAGTTTGCACAACGACCGGGAACTCTGACACCTCAAGCCGATAGGAATCTCGAATAGAGAAATCTTAGACACCGAGGTAAGGGTGATGCTCGGAATGTGTTTTGGTCCGAGATTTTTCCAGTCCCTTTGATTCCTAGTGGCATAGACGCTGGCAACCTGCTTGCTAGTAGCCCAAGCGATTCCAGCCTGTGCCAGGGAGGAAGATGCCCTTGGTCCTCATTCATGCGGAAAAAGCAGGGTAGCATGTGTTAAGTCTTCCATATCAAATTCCTCTAGAAATTCTGAGGATTCCTTTTATTTGGCTCAGAGAGGAAACATCTAGAACATTTATACTCTAACCCAGAGAACTGAAGTGGTTTCCTGGGTATTTCTGCTATACATGAAGAAAGATGCTATTTCATTTAAGCCAAAAACCTAAGTCGGGGCTGGATTCAAAAGCAGACTTTCCTCTTAAAACAGCTTCTTAATTTCTTTCTTTCTTTTTTGAGACAGAGTCTCGCTCTGTCACCCAGGCTGGAGAGCAATGGTGGGATGTCGGCTCACTGCAAACTCCACCTCCTGAGTTCAAGCAGTTCCCTACCTCAATCTCCCGAGTAGTTTGGATTACAGGTGCCGGCCAGTAGGCCCGGATAATTTTTCTTTTCTTTCTTTTTCTTTTTTTTTTTTTTTTTACGAAAATACAGGGGAAAGCGCTAATGCAATCCCAACTACTTTTCGTATTTTTAGTAGAGATGGGGTTTCACCATATTGGTCAGGCTGGTCTTGAACTCCGACCTTGTGATCCACCCACCTCGGCCTCCCAAAGTGCTGGGATTACAGGTGTGAGCCACCGTGCCTGGCCTCAAAACAGCTTCGTTCTTTGCTTCAAGTCATTAGAGACAAGTGATGAGCCTCTTAAGCAGTAAGCACATGAACAATGGGTCTGGTTCTAACAAGCGGCCCTGCCAGCAGGACTTTGGGAGCAGAAGTGTATGCACCGCTGCAGAAAGAGTTAGAAACTATCATAAAGGAGGAATGCCGAACTTGCAGGGAAAGAGCTCTGAAGAATCATCATGTAGCAGGGGAATTACATGTCTTCTCTCCTGCTCCGGAGAACTAGACTAGAACCAAAGGGTAGTCCTGGGTATGAGGCATGAGGAGAACTAGGTAGGGAAGAGGTCTGTGGAGAAGTAGTAGCCCCAGAGAATGGAAACAAACAAACACAACCAATGCAGATAGAGCCTGATTCTACCCAGGGCTTCTAGGCAGCTCAAAGCCTAGCATCAGAGGATGTAATAAACTCAGCACCATTTGCAGCAGTCTCTGGGACCAGGCGCTCCACTCCAGCAGGCAGGGCAAAGGACGCTAGGAAGCTTTCCAAAGATCCTTCCTCAAAGGACCATCACAGCTGGCAGTGGGGAATGTGGAGGGCAGGAGAAAGGACCATCACAGCCAGCAGTGGGGAATGTGGAGGGCAGGAGGCAACAGAGAGAATGCACGGTCCCAGCATTCCATCACCAGGACAAGGCCCTGTATTGGCAGGAAGCTAGGTCACTGAATAGAAACTAGTGGGCTTGGTGCAGTGGCTCACACCTGTGTTAAATACTACAATTAAAAATTGACTTTAGTCAAATTAAATTTAAAGGAGTTTAATTGAGCAAAGAAGGACTGCCAAATCGGGCCATCTCCTGAGCCAGAGGAGGATCAGAGGCTCCAGCACAGCCATGTGTTGGAAGAAGATTTACGTGCAGAAAAAGGAAAGTGACATTCAAAAAATGGGAGAGAGGTGCAGAAACAGCCAGATGGGTCACAGCTCAGCGTTTGCCTTATTAGAACATGGTTGGAACAGTTGACCACATTTAATTGGCCAGAACTCGGTGACTGATACAAGAGCAGGCTATAGTCTGTTTACCATTCCGTTTAGCTTATAGTCCATGATGTACAGAGGAACCTTTGGGTCAAACCTAAAATATGTAAGGAGGAAGCTTTAGGCTAAACTTGATTTAATACTTTTTTTTTTTGAGACAGTGTTTTGCTTTTATTGCCCAAGCTGAAGTGCAATAGCACGATCTTGGCTCACTGCAACCTCCACCTCCCGGGTTCAAGTGACTCTCCTGCCTCAGCCTCCTGAGTAGTTAGGATAACAGGCGTGTGCTACCACACCCAGCTAATTTTGTATTTTTAGTGGAGATGGGGTTTCTCCGTGTTGGTCAGGCTGGTGTTGAACTCTCGACTTCAGGTGATCCGCCCTCCTTGGCCTCCCAAAGTGCTGGGATTACAGGTATGAGCCACCATGCCCAGTGATTTAATACTTATAATCCAGGTACGTTTAGTAAGATGAGGCAGGAGGATCTCTTGAGGACAGGAGTTTGAGACCAGCCTTGGCAACACAGGGAGACCCTCATCTCTATAAAAAAAATTAGCCAACTGGGCGCGGTGGCTCAAGCCTGTAATCCCAGCACTTTGGGAGGCCGAGGCGGGTGGATCACGAGGTCAAGAGATCGAGACCATCTTGGTCAACATGGTGAAACCCCGTCTCTACTAAAAATACAAAAAATTAGCTGGGCATGGTGGCACGTGCCTGTAATCCCAGCTACTCAGGAGGCTGAGGCAGGAGAATTGCCTGAACTCAGGAGGTGGAGGTTGCGGTGAGCTGAGATCGTGCCATTGCACTCCAGCCTGGGTAACAAGAGCGAAACTCTGTCTCAAAAAAAAAAAAAAAAAAAAAAATTAGCCAGGGCATGGTGGTGTGTGCCTGTAGTCCCAGCTACTTGGGAGGCTGAGGTGGGAGGATTTCTTGAGCCCAGGAGCTCGAGGCCACAGTGAGCTATGATGGCACCACTGTACTCCAGCCTGGGTGACAGTGAGACCTCGTCTCTAAAAAAAGAAGAAAGGAAAAGGAACTAAGGGAGTAGCCTCTTGGTTAAAGTGCAGCCAGTGGACTCAGCCAATAAAACAGGAGGATTAGGCAGGAAGGAGGAGCACTGTGGCTTGAAGTTGCTTCACATGGCCCAGGATGCATGAGGCCTGTGATGCCCTACCATGACAGCTGTGGCAGAGCACATGGTATTCTGGAATCTCTGAATTCTCACAGTCATATTTTTCTTTTCTTTTCTTTTTTCTCTTTTTTTAAGACAGAGTTTTGCTCTTGTTGCCCAGGCTGGAGTGCAATGGAGCGATCTCGGCTCACCGCAACCTCCACCTCCTGGGTTCAAGCAATTCTCCCGCCTCAGCCTCCTGAGTAGCTGAGACTACAGGCCTGTGCCACCATGCCCAGCTAATTTTTGTATTTTTAGTAGAGACGGGGTTTCACCATGCTGACCAGGATGGTCTCGATCTCTTGACCTCGTGATCCACCTGCCTCAGCCTCCCAAAGTGCTGTGATTACAGGCTTGAGCCACCGCACCTGGCCCACTTTTCTCTTTTTTTTTTTTTTTTTTTGAGACAGAGTCTTGCTCTGTCACCAGGCACCAGGCACCAGGCACCAGGCACCAGGCTGGAGAGTGCAGTGGTGCAATCTCAGCTCACTGCAATTTCCGCCTCCTGGGTTCAAGCAATTCTCCTGCCTCAGCCTCCCAAGTAGCTGGGATTACAGGTGCATGCCACCACGCCTAGCTAATTTTTTTGTATTTTTTTAGTAGAGACGGGGTTTCACCATGTTGGCCAGGATGGTCTCAATCTCTTGACCTTGTGATCTGCTTGCCTCGGCCTCCCAAAGTGCTGGGATTACAGGCGTGAGCCACCACGCCTGGCCAATATTATTCAATCCTTGAAATACAATACTCATGATTATAAAGAAAATCAACTACACTGAAAGATTGTTATCAAACTAGTATTAGAAAACAAATTTTTGAGGACAGGCACAGTGGCTCACACCTGTAATCCCAGCACTTTGGGAGGCCAAGGAAGGCAGATCACCTGAGGTCAGGAGTTCAAGACCAGCCTGGCCAACATGGTGAAATCCTGTCTCTGCTAAAAATACAAAAATTATCCAGGTACAGTGGCACATGCCTATAGTCCCAGCTACTTGGGAAGCTCAGGCAGGAGAACTGCTTGAACCCAAGAGGTCTTGCACTCCAGCCTGAGACTCTGTCTCAAAAAAAAAAAGACACGAGTACAGAAAAACTCCAAGGTTTTTGGCCTGAGAA